ATTACTTAGATTGCTGGAAAATAGAAAGGCAAGACAGCTGTCAGAGCAGTCTTGGCTGAACAATTTAATTAATTCCTAGAGAAATATTCAGTGTAAACAGGAAGGAAAAAATGAACATCCAACTCCTAATGTGATAAGTTAGCATTTATTTATTGAAACATTTCTGAATGGTACTTCTTTTAGCCTCTGTGTTTTATTTCAAAGCTATGTACAAAGGTATTCACAACTAAATTTCATTTACCACTGTGAAATATTTCTCATTAGAAAACTATAGGATTGAATTACAGACTGGAGGGAATAATGAACTTTCATGAAGATATTTCTCCCAATTTACATCAAAGTTGCTCTAGACTAGATCCTATGCTGTGATCCACCATCCCTGAAATATTACACCATCATAGCAGACTGACAAGCACTAAATAACATTGGATTATGTTATATCTTTTACTAGAAATTATGCAACTGTTCTTGAGTCCAAGTAGGAGTTGTTCTTTCTTGTTGCTTTGTTCACCTACCTTACTTTCCTGCCTAATCACTTTATTTTGATTTGTCACAAGATTGACTAGGACTCCTTAGGTCTCTTATATTAGTGATTCCTAATTTTTGACTTCCACCAGTCCTTGCCTATTCTTTGTACTTTGTAACCAATACTATCTGTCTTTACAATAACAGTCACCTTGAAAGCATCACATGTTTCTCTGGATTATTTTTGCTGGATTATTATTTGTTAGTTCTTCAAGACATCACCCCCCAAAATAGTGGCAATCCACTTTAGTGATAGAGGCAATAGTAACAGAATCTTGTAAACCTGACATTTTCCCCTTTTCTTGTATTAAAGAGAATCGAAATAGAACAATCTTTCTTTCTCATACTTTTCTGCTTTTCCCAAGGCTAAGCTCATGTTTAACTGATGGTTGCCACATATATCGTCAAGACCATTTCTTTACTTTTCTATAGTTTCCTCAATTACAAGGAGAATGAATTTTTTTTAGAAAATTTTGCATCCAGCTAGATGAAAAACAAATATTTTGTTAGGTAAAGAGGTGATAGATAGATAGATAGATAGATAGATAGATAGATAGATAGATAGATAGATAGATAGATAGATAGATGTAATGTAAAGTATGGTGAGATATTTATAAAACCCAAAATATAGGATTTCGTTTTCTTACTATAATGTCTCCATTTTATTCAACATCTGTCACCATATGTACTTTAGAATAGTACCATGATAGCAGCTTATAATTAAGCAATTAGTAAAATGGAATGGATAATTGTTCAGTATGCAGATGAAGTGATGCTAATGGTTACTAATCTAGTGTAATCTCTGTCCAACAATTTTAATGAAATTAACAAAAACAGTGAAAATAGTTGTCTGTAAGAGAACAGCCCTCCACTAGAAAACACTCAGCTAGAGGATGCTAAAGGGCTAGAATATTTTACAGTCTTTATGCCATTTAATATAAATAACTAAAATTGCTCAGCTTGAAAGCCAAGAAATGTGCACAATAGTATATCTATAGTAGTAGTAGTTGTTGTTAGTCCCGAAGTCATGTCCAACCGCTCATGAACCCATGACAGGCCTTCCTGTCCTCTACCATCTCCCGGAGTCTATTTAAGCTCATGCTGACTACTTCAGTGACTCCATCCAGCCACCTCGTTCTCTGTCATCCTCTTCTTCTTTTGCCCTCAGTCATTCCCTGCAGTAGGCTCTTCTCCAGTGAGTATATACTTTATTCTAAATAGTATATACTTAATTCTAAAAATCAGTTTGGATGTATATGTCTCACTTGAGAATGAGATCATCCAAACCTGGTGAAATTTTAGTGGGAGCTTATGAGATGTTGGTATTTGATACGTAATCTTACAAGTTCCAGTGTCTTTTGAGTTTTAAATTTGTATTATATTGAGATCTGGGGAACACATTTGAATTTACTTATGTGTACTAGTATCTGTAAGTATTGCCTTATTCTAAAACTTTCAATCCATGGCAGTATTTGTGATAATGGCTTAACAGCCCCAGACACAGCAATGAAAAATCTCCTTCAACTGTCATTTTTCCTTTCTTTCCACATTAAATATTGTTTAATCTCTAGGGTTTTTTTTCCTCCATCCAGTCTAAAGAGAAATTCTTATTTACCAAAAAATGAATGAAACTGTCACCCTTCTGCATTGCTACAGGTATTCACAGCATGGAATTGTGCTTATTGATTGTTAAAGTTGAGCCTCTTAGTGGAAAAACATGGCAATAACTAAATCAGCACAACATACAGAGCTGACAATTGGAAATCCAGGTTTTTCAAAGCTAAGCATTTACAATAAAGTCCTCTTCTCAGTTTGATTAATATTTCACTTTCTCTTATAACAAATTCTGTTTTTTCTCTCCAAATTGTAGCCAAATTTTTAAAACCCTTATCTACATACTCACATTGATCTTCGGATAGTGTCCTTCAACTCATCATTCTATCTATAGCAGGATGAAATTGTATTTTAAAGGATAGCATTGCTATCTTTAAAATACAGATCTTATTGGGCTGAATCATAATAGGATAGTTTCAGGAATCATCAAAGTTATTTCATTCAGCAAGATTCTGTCTATGAATCTTTTACCATTTTCCAGTTATTCTATGTAAAATCCAGGATTGAGCAGCTATCTACAAAAATTTGTCATAGATCTTTGGTTTTGACTTTAAATTAGGCTACTGAAATGAAGAAAGCTGAAAGGTAAGACATTAAGGAAACAAGGAATGAATATTTGTGTAAAAAGTCAGCAAGTATCATTAGTTTTGATCTGAAACTAGAAATATGCCTGAGAGTTTTGGTCTCAGTCATATGCTTAATTTTAGTAGATGCATCTGTCCCAAGTAACTATTTTGCATTTGACTCTGGTTGAAGAAATTGTTTTTTGTTCTAGTAACAAAGAGTGTTCTAAAACTTGTAATTACAAATTTTTAGATTTTTAGTTTTATAGCCATAATATAGGAGACATGTTCTTTTGGTAAGAATACATATTTTAATTTATTTCAAAATCTGGTAACTATTTGTGCTCCATTTGGGGGTCCTCCAGTTTCTTTGGGGAACCTTCTGTTTATTGTATGGGCTGTGGTTCTCTGTTCTGGAGTTCCCCCTAATAGTCACCGCTGACTTTAGTCAATCTGTTTCATTGAGTTCAAACAGAGGATCAGCGATGATGGTAAAGAATAAAGATAAGGTAGAGACCTCCAGTTTCTAAACACAACCTGGCATGGAATTTAGATAAAAATCTGGCTTAAGGATGTCTGATCCTTTCCATGTTCCAAATCAATTCACCCTTCTCTAATTGGCATGCAATAGGTTACAGGCATGCACAGAAGTCTTTATTAATTACTTTCCAAGTTTGATAACCAGATGGCACCATTTGTAGAGGAAAGTCCTTTGCTGTAAAGAAATGCTTAAGTGAAAAAATCTGTATCGAAATATATGATTATGAGATAAAGTAGTTACCATCTTATCCTGTGTTCCACCTTTCAAACACAGATTCTCATGCAAATTAGAGCTACCAGATCTAGGCCACAAAAATCCAGACAATTACTTAATGGCAGTAAAGCATGGGGGGGAGGGGGTTGTATCTTTTTGTTGCCATCTAACCTTGTCTGGATGTTTGCAGCCCAGATCTGGTGGCCTGGTGTAAATGAGAATTACCAACTCTGTGTTAATTACATGTAGTCCTTGACTTACAGCCACAATTGGGCTCAGAATTTGTTGCTAAGTGAGAAATTTCTTAGTTTTGCCCCATTTTAGGACTTGCCACATTTGTTAAGTGAATCACTGCAGTTGTTAAATTATGTAAGCGAATGGTTGTTAAGCGAATTGGGCTTCCCCAATTACTTTGCTTGTCAGAAGTTCACAAAAGATGATCAAATGACCCCAGCATGCTGCAACAGTCATAAATATGTCAAGCTCCAAATGTAAATCACGTGACTATGGGGAGGTTGCAACTGTCATAAGTGTGAAAAATGTTCATAAGTCACTTTTTTCAGTGCTGTTATAACTTTGAACGATCACTAAATGAACTTTTGTAAATCGATGATTACTTGTATATGTTATTGGGAGAGTAATATCTTCATTAACGACTTAGATGAGGGAATAGAAGGGGAACTTACCAAATTTGCAGATGATACTAAGATGGCAGGAATAGCTAATACCCAAGAAGATAGGCTCAAGATCCAGATGGATCTTGACAGACTAGAACACTGGGCTGTATCTAACAAAATGAAATTCAATGTAGAGAAAAGTAAAGTCCTACACTTAGGCAAGAAAAACCAAAAGTACACATATAGACTGGGTGAAACCAGGCTCAATAGCAGTAACTGTGAGAGGGATCTTGGAGTCTTAGTGGACAACCAGCTAAATATGAGCCAGTAGTGTGCAGCAGCAGCCAAAAAAACTAATGCAATCCTAAATTGTATTAACAGGGATACAATCGAGATCAAGCGAGGTACTAATACCACTCTGTAAAGCCTTAGTAAGACCACACCTAGAGTACTGCATCCAATTTTGGTCACCACATTATAAAAAAGATGTTGATACTCTAGAAAAAGTATAGAGAAGAGCAACCGGGATGATTAGGGGACTGGAGACTAAAACATACGAAGAACGGTTACAGGAACTGGGCATGGCTAGTCTAGTGAAGAGAAGGACCAGGGGGGACATTATAGCAGTCTTCCAATATTTGAGGGGCTGCCACAGAGAGAAAGGGGTAAAGCTATTTTCTAAAGCACCTGTAGGCCAGACAAGGAATAATGGATGGAAACTGAACAAGGAGAGATTTAACCTGGAAACAAGGAGAACCAATGGAACAGCTTGCCCTTGGAAGTTGTGGGAGCACCATCACTTGAGAATTTCAAGAAGAGATTGGACTCCCATTTGTCAGAAATGGTATAGGGTTTCCCGCTTGGGCAGAGGATTGGACTAGATGGCCTACAAGGTCCAACTCTGATTATCTGTAATCTGAGTGTGTTTCCAATTCACTTCAATAGGAAAAATGGGTAGTTGGGAGAAAAGAAGATAAAAGTATATCTGATTTCATTCAACCTACTTACAACCTATTTATACATTTCAGTGTAACCATCATATTTCTGTTTATGTAGATTCTTCTTTAAAATCAATGTTCAGAATTTTGGACCTCAGCTCACTAACAAGCTCAACAAATATCCTATTTTATTGTGCTACTACCAGGGCAAAAAACGTGACAGGGAGCCCTCTTCTAGAATCTAGAAAGTATGATTCCTCAATGATGGAAAGCAAGTTCCAAATAAAGAAAGGAGTAAAGATGTTGGTTGTTGATTCTCTGTGACTTCATCTGTTGATTTATGGAATATTCATGGACTTCTGATAGTGAGAGATATGCTTAAGGCTGAAATCTTATACTCACTTATTGTACCTTGAAGTAGATTTTATTGAACTACCACAATACAGTACTAAACATGAATATATTTATATATAACATATGGGAAACAGTATACTGAAATTGCATATTAAGTCTACTACTGTACATCTGAGTTGCATGTGTTTCTGCAACTTTTTTCTACCGCTTATAAGTCATCCAGATTTTTATGTTCTGGATCCAGTAGACTTTAGATCTCTAATTTTGTGACTGTCACTGCTTGCTGAAATGCTCTGCTGGATTTCCACAACAAAGTGCCCCAAAACAGAGGCACGCTTCTCCATAGTTTTAATGTAAAACAACTAAATAAAAGGCACGTAAACTTTCCTTTAAGCCTTAATATAGTAAATAGTCATACATACCAGTTCTCTCCTCCAAAACAAAAGAACTACTAGATGTATACCTGTTAGATATTAAGTCCCTGCAGTCCTTGTGAATTACTCTACTATACCAAAAACTGTTTAAAAATATGTGTTCCTTACCTGTTCAAAATTGTTTAGTGTCTGAAAGGATTTCATTCCAAAGTGAGATAAAATCCCCACACAAGAACAAAAGACCAAAAAAACACATTCTGATGCATGTGAACCTGGGTGAGTATAATAAAAACAAACCTGAAATATTTGGAGAATTAAATTAATTCAAAAACTTTTTAATCTTTCAAACGTATCCATTTAAATCTATAGTTAACATCTGGAGTTATTCTTATCTAAATCAAAATCTTTTCATTTTTATTCAAATAAGTATGCTTTATTTAATGCTTTGGGAGCCGATTCGTTTTGTTTGATATATTTACAGTGCCGTTTTATTGCTGTCATTTCCTGTCAACATTGTTTGTATGTACCATATTATTGCTCACATGCTCATAAATATTGTATGTTTACTTGAATGTACATATGAAGATAGACATTGAAATAAAGTTGATTTTTGAAGTTGCAAACTGAGCCATTTAGAAATAAAGGGGGAAATTTGGGAAAAAATAAAGCATGTTTAAAACAATAATAAAAATCAGTACACATTTATTCTGGTTTATTGCTCTTACCGTTTGGGATCAGCAAGATTACTAAGGGATTCATTTTTATTGCTTTTTTGTTATTATTTAACATCTGCACATTAATAACAACTCCATTTATTAAAGGATTTATGTTGGGATTGCTATAATAAAATATACGGATTTATACTAGTCACTAAAAGAATTCTCTGCAAAAGTAGAATTTCCTCCCCACCCCAAGTGATTATGAGGACTAGAACATATTGTTTCTGCTCCAAGCATCAGCAAAGCCCACTCATTGCTGTGTATGGTGACAGATGTCTTGAGTTAATGCTGAATATTTAAATGTCATCTTTGGAGCCACTCCCTATCTACATAGCACCCCAGTTTATCATCTGTGCAATCTGTCTTCAATCTGTGTTTTTTGCTGAAAGTTTCTAGTTCACTGATGGTCAAGAAACTTACTTCATAGTGCAAATGCTTTTTAAGGCTAACATATAGTCATAAAATGCTTCCGACAGTTCAGGCAATTACCAATGCTCAGATTAATTGACAATTACTGCAACTTTCTAGGAAGCTTGAGTAAGTACCTGGAAATGACTAATTTTATAATTCAGAAATTACAGTGGCTGTTTCTAAAGCAGTGGTGGGTAACCTATAGTCTGCATACAATTCACAAAGCTGTTTTGAAGCCCCCTGAACTTTCTGGGACTATGCTCCTGAAACTTGGCAGCAAATCATCAGTAATCAAACCGTACCGTTTCACATCAATGTTTTATTGGAGGACAAAGAAGGTATGATAAGCCCTCAGAGAAGCCATTAAATCAAAGTGGCCAGAAAACTCATACCAGCCCTTCCAAAACAAGCAACAACTAAATGGCCTGATCTATTTATGTAGTAGTATGATATCATTAAAAGCCTCTTCGGTGTAGTGGTTAAGAGATCAGTCTAGAAAACAGGAAACCATGAGTTCTAGTCCCATCTTGGGAACAAAGCCAGTTGGATAACTTTCAGCTAATCACTTTATCTCAACCTAAGAAGGAGGCAATGTGACAAACCACTTCTGAAAAACCTTACCAAGAAAACTGCAGGAGTCCACTGAGACTTGGTCACAATCAGAAGGAATGAAAAAAAAATGACATAATTGCCTTGTTCTCTAGGGCCACCGTGAGTGAGCCAACTGCAAAATATTTCCAGCTGATCATATATGATTGCTGACTTGAGTATGTAGCAGATTCTGTATGGCATGAGTGCCAAGAATGAGAGAGACAGTATATAGTATCTGATTTGGTGACTAAGCCCCTGGGAATCTGTCCTCTGCAAGTCCTGATGAAATTAATAGGCAAAAGCACAACTGCCACTCATTTCATTGAGAACTGAAACATATTTGGGTGGTTTGTACCATATGGCGATTGGCAAGAAGGAAGTAAAAGTATATTTGTACAAGATTATCACAATTCATTTTAATAAGGATTTCTGTAAAGATACATGAATGAGAGTATCTTTGAAAATGCATCCGGCAATTTACTTTCATTTACAACTGGCTCACATACAGGAAATCATCAATTTACAACCATTCATTTAGCAATCTTTTGAAGTTACAACGGCACTGGAAATGGTGACTTAAAACTTTAGCAGGATCCCCACATGAACAAAATTAAGGCGCTTTACAATTAGCATGTATTTATGATGTTATAGTGTCCTGGAGTCATGTCATTGCCATTTGTTTTCTTCCCAGCTGGCTTCGGACAAAGTCAATGGGGGAAGGAAGCCAAACAACCATGTTATTAACAACTGCAAGGGATTCACTTAACAACCATGGCAAAAAATGGTTGTATAATCGAGTGTGACTCAACAACAACCTTGTTCAACAACCAAAATTATAGTCTCAATTATGGTTATAACTCAAGGACTATCTATAGTTTCTTACGCTCTACTATCTATTGCTCCACCTATTTCCAGACCAAATTGAAGATAGCTGCTATGACCTCTGAAATATCCATAAATGGATAGTAATTAAAATATGGCATGGCTACATAACTTGTAGATTTTTAGATGTTGCTAAACTACAACTTCCGAGGTCTTGGCTACCCTGCTCACTAGTGAGGGACACTATAGAGTTCAACAATAATAATTTGTAGGCCACATGTTGTGCACATATGATTTAAAAGATCTTTCTTTTTCCCATTCTCATCTTTGAAATTCAGATTGAAAACACATACAGAAATTTAAAAGGAATGGATCAAATTAAGAGGAAGCAAGAAAAAAATGTAAAAAAAAATTACACTCAATAGATCAAAATTTAAAAAGTTCCTCACCAAAGGGAATAATCTTAACATTGTAGCTCTTACAGCCTAGTGGAACATCTTTGTTACAACCAGCTTTCTAAAAACTGGTAGAGAAAGGGACAATCTGATATCCATGTCAAATTTTTCCAGAGAGTGGAATCTGCAACTGAAAAAATGATCTCTTGAGATGGCAAACCCTGAGAGATCTGCCCCATTAATGAATGAACCCATCCTGATCAATCATATTGGGCAGGCAGATGTTACTGGGAGAAGGCAGTCAGGCTTGAACCATGAAAAGCTTTAAAACTGACAAGCAGCATCTAGAATTTCATCCAGAAGCCAATTCAAGTGTACATAACTTGCAGCTTTTTGAAGCTGTATTCTGGATGAAGTATATATAACCTACAGCTATTGAACCTAGACTTCAGTAAACCATTTGATAAAGTTGATCAAAACCAAGGGGAATAGATGGTCCCACTATCAGATGGGTTCACAGTTGATTAGACAGTTGTATCAGTGTATGATCTTTAAGAAATGTATGCCTACATGAAGAAAATTAAGCAGTGTGGTACCTCAAGGTTCTGCTCTGGGGCCAGTACTAGTCAACATTTTTTAGAAGGGAAAAAAAGGATGCACAGCAAATCTGCATGCAATACCAGCTTGGTGGCGGATAAAGATTGCCAATATCTCAGAAGACAGGCTCAAGGATTAAAAGGATCTTGTTCGTTGAACATTGGGCACTTCCAATAAAATGCAGTTCAATTGTAAGAAATGGAGGCTCTGCACTTAGAGTAAGTAGAAAAAATTACACACACAGGCACTAGATAGAAAGTACCTGGCTCAATGGTAGTATTTGTGAAAAGGATATCGATCTTTTAGTAGATGACTGATTAAGTATGAGCCAGCCATGTGCTTAAAGTATCAAAAGAGTGGATGCAATGTTGGGCTACATCAATAGATATATAACATTGAGATTATGTGAAGTGATAGTTCCGGATACACTATGATTCTATCTTCTGAATGCTCAAATATAGCCCCATGTACAGTGCAATGCACTAATCCAAACAAGAGATGGCTAAGACATGAGTGACTGAGCAAAGCTTTTCATCCCAAGAGGGATAGTAACTGGTGCATAGGATGGAACGACAGTTTCTCTCCAAGTCAGATTGTTTACAAACCTGGAGCCTGTCCATCTTGCTGTGATTAAGCCTCAAAATATTCATAACTATCCAGATCCTAATAACCTCTGGGTCAGCACTTTGATAATATAATTTGTTCAGTCAAAGGTTATGTTAGAAATTTGGCTCTCATTAACATGCTGGTGATACACAAATCTTATTGGTTAAAAAAGAAACCTTCACTCAGAAGCATGTAGTTGTTAAATAGGAGTTGGGAGATTGTAAAGACTGCAGCATTCCACAACAAAAGTTTATTAATTTATTAAATTTATATGCCACCCATCTCACTATCCAAAGCAATTCTGAGCAGCTGCAACTTCACAGTCAAACTCCCTACTACTACATCACCAACTAGAACCACACCATTACTATTATTATCTAACTTTTATGTATTATCTATTCAAGGCTATGACTGTAACTAATACTCTGCCTCTATTTTTCCCCCCAACAACCCTATGAGACAGGATGTACTGAGAGACCGACTGTCCCATGGTCACTCAGTCAGCTTTCACACCTAAGGGAGGCTTAGAAGAACTCAGGCTCTTGGTTTCTGGGCCAGCACTTTAAACACGTTTCAGAACAATAGATTTTAACAGCAATGAAGCCAAAAGGTAAAAAACATGAGAAAGCCGTGTACAAGAGCAAGCTTCTAAATAGCAAGGGGAAAAAAAATCCAAAAATGCTTTTTAGTTTCCTCCAGAGACGAAATTCATACGAATTCTATTTTATTACCCACTATATAATAAACACATTCTGTTCCATACAAATTGATTGATTACTAATGTGCATCAAGCCATTTCAAACTCTTAGGATCCACATACTGTAGGAAGCGAACCGGTTGGTAACCTAAGTGCAGCCCACTTCTGGTTCTATCTATACTATGGCTTCCTGACCTATATTTAAATTTTTCATGGGGACAATCAAATGTTCTGGATCTCCCATTTTCTTGAGCATGTTCCAGAGCTTGTTGTGATCAACGTAAGCTTTCTAAAGATATGACTTCTTTTTTGCATTCTTTGACTTTCTCCAAGAACTGGGGGTCTCCAAACCTACAGCCACTCGGTCTTACTTTACTTGAGTTAAAAAGTCTATTTGCTCTTCATCTTCTTCCAGCTATCTTTTGATGTCTCTC